AAACAGCACTTGTGTTTCCTTCAACAGCTGGCTGAGAAACAGGTGTACTGTGAGGGAGATCAGGCCTGGCAATCCAGCTGCTCAGGAATACTAAGTTCAAGGCCAGCCTACCCAATTTAGTGAGAACAATTTAAAAAATAAAGGACTGGGGATGCAGCTTAATGGTAGAGTGCGTGTCTACATGCTAGAGGTTCCTCCCAGCACTGGGGGAGGGAATCAAGTTAAGGGGACCTAAGACCATATGGGAAGGAACCCTGCTGACTACAAGATCAAGGACCCTAGCTGGGGTGGCATCCTTCATAGAAGTTGAGAACCTATGACAGTGGCTGTGGACTGTACCTAGGCCAAAACATCTGGCCAGGGTTGAAGTAGCCAGAATACAAGGCCCCATTTCTAGGTACAGCAAGCAGGTAGCAGTGGGAAGAAGAACAGGGCCAGGCTCTTGACAGTCCCCAGGTGGCTGTTCATATACAGGGCCCCTTTCCACAAAGCTGAGGGAAGTGGAGAGCCTAACGTCATGGGCTCTAACTGGCCCCTGCCTTATATAACTGAAGAGTTGTAGGATGGGAGGTCGGCGCGATGGCTCAGCAGTTAAGAGAACTGGCTGTTTCTCTAAAGGACCTTGATCTAATTCCCAGCAGCCACATGGTGGCTCACAACTCCAGTCCTGGGGTCTCCAACATCCTCTTATGGCATGCAAGGGCACCATATGTTATACAGACATGTGTAGAAAAACATACCCATACAAGAGTTACAGGTTGGGCTAGAGAAAAACAGCACAGTGGTGGAGCACCTATTGCTCCTTAGAGAATCTGCATTTGGTTTCCAGTGCCTCCGGCAGGTGGCACACAATTCACAACTCCAGCTCCACGGATCCAACACCCTCTTCTAGCCCTACTCAGACACTACATTCACAATATATTTTTTGGTTTTTCCAGACAGGGTTTCCTTAACAGTCCTGGCTATCCTGGAACTCAATGTAGGCCAAGCTGGCTTTGAACTTACAGAGATCTGCCTGCTGTGGTTAAAGGCACAAACCACCAGACCCAGCACATTACATGCAGGGAAGGCTGGAGAACTGGATTAGTTAAAAGGTTTCCAGCACCCATGTGGCATCTAACCACCTGTACCTCCAGCTCCAAGGGATCTAGTTCTTTCTGACCTTCATGGGTAACAGACACACGGTAGACATACATAGGCAAAAGGTGTTTTAAATTTAAAGAAAGTATTGCTCTTGGAGAGGAGCCAGAGTCAATTCCCAGCACTCATGTCAGGTGGGGACCGTCTGTCACCCCCCCAGCTCTGAAAGCACTGGCAATCACCCAGTAACAAAAGTTTGGTAATCTGCCGATGCCTGCAGCTTTCTATCAAATGTAGGGGTAAGTGAGGTGACACTGCTGGCCCCCTTTGCTTTATCTTTTTGAGATACTGTATGTAACTGGCTGTCCTAGAGCTTACTATGTAGACCAGGCTGGCTCTGAACTCACAAGTACTCCATCTGCCTCTGCCTCCCGAGTGCTGGAATTACAGGTGTGTACCACCATACCCATCACCTCTTAGCATCTTGATGCCCACTAAAATGAAAACCTGCTTTGCTGGAGTCCCCTGAACTTGATCTTGGCCAAAAGACCAAGAGGCAACTGCAAACTTATACACTACATGAATGAGCCAACAGGAAGCTGATGTGTTACGTGTTACGTGGCCAGGATCCCGGCAACCATGGTAAGGTGAGTCAGTTTGAGTCCAGTCTACACTACATGAACCCCTACATCAAAAAGCCAACAAAAGCAAGCCGCATGTGAACAGACCTGTCAGTGACAGGTTAAAGTGCCAGCAAGCTGCGGAGAGACGGAAGGAACCGTCCCAGGGCATGTGCTCAGCCTACAGAGCTCTGGTGACACTCGAGGCCTCTGGCCTGGGACTTACGATTTGATGATGTTCCCCAGAGTGTGGTCTTCTTTGTTGATGGTGAACAGGCAAGCATTGGGCACCTTTGTGTCCTTGTTAATGGTGATTCTACAATGAGACAGGCAAAGGCTGAGGGTGATAGCTTTCCTTGGCCCCACATCCAGCTCTTGTGATGCTGACACTGATTCTCAAATCGGTGTCCCCTTTGTGATCAAACATTCTAGAAACTGCAGTTGGGCTGTTCCCACTACCCCAGAAACAAAAACATCCAGCTCTTTCCCTCATACAAATTGGTTGTCTTAAACTAGCTCTTGACTAAATTCTTTCCTAGAAGACAGAAAACAGCTTGTCTCCAAACCCCCTAACAATTCAAGGGAGGCCATCATTCTGCAAGTCCCACTATCCCCAGTCTGCTCGCCCCAAAGGGCTCTCTGAGAGCTCTGGCATGGTTCAATGGGTCACCATTTATCTCAAATTTTTAAGGCTCTGGGTTTCATCCTACCACTCACTCCCCCTCCAAACAAAACAAGCAAGGTAGGCCTGCTGGGACTAGTCACTGGGACTAGTAATCCCAGTGACGGGGGCAGGAGGGCAGATAAAAACACTGTCATCCTTGCCTTCCTTGACAGACCATGCTGGCTGACTCCTATCTACACTTCCACGTCCCTGGAGGAGCAATGAAGTAGGCACATTGCACAGCTTTGACACGGCTTCTGGAGATCCACACCAATCCTCAGCAAATGCTTTGAGCTGTGACCCACTGAGCCATCTCCCCAGCCTAGCAAATGTTGGGCAGGGGGAGCTGGAGTGAGCCAGGCAGTGGTGGAGCACACCTTTGATCCAGCACTTGGGAGGCAGAGGCAGGAGGATCTCTGTGACTTCGAAGCCAGCCTGCACTACAGAGCGAGTTCCAGGACAGCCAGAGCAACACAGAGGAAACCCTGTTTTGAAAAACCAAAAGAAAACTACAAAAAAAAAAAAAAAGCTCGAGTGTAGCTTATTGATAGAGCAGTAACCTAGCATGGGCCAGACCCTGGGTCCAGTCCCCAGCATGACCAAAACAAAAAAACAAGGAACCTTCTCTACTCCGTGATGGCACCTTATCTATACACACCAAGGACCCTTTCCCACACAGGATTGCTCCTTTTTTCTTTTTCAGAACGGGATTTCTCTTGGTCCTGGAACTACCTCTATAGACCAGGCTGGCCTTGAACTCAGAGATCCGTCTGCCTGTGCCTCCTGAGTGCGTCATTAAACCGTCGAGTCCTGAAATTCTTTCTAGTGTTGAAGCCACGAACCTGAGTTTGGCCGAGATCCCTGAAAATCTAGAGGAAATCCTCAGGCTGCTGAGGAGTGTGAGAGGGTAGCTGTGTCTCTGTCCCTTCCCCGCTACCATCATTATCCTCCTGCCTCAGTCGCCAAGTCCTGGAATCACAGGCGATCGCACCCTATGCAGGGGGGTGAGCTCTAAAGCCATCGCTGCGCAGCATGGATAATGGGGCTGCAGACCAGTGAAAAGGGAGCCTGACACTCTGAGTTCGAATACAGTCCCCGACACTTCCTAAGTGTCTGGAGCAAGGGCTCGACGTGCCCCGGCCTCAGTTTCCCCGCTGTAACACAGGCGTACATCGCACCACCGCCTGAAGTTCGGCAGACGCGCACGAAGCACAGTGCTCACCGCGCCAGAGCTAACGGCCTCCACTTACTTCTTCTCGCCCTCGAAGAGCAAGAACGACTCGAAGGCCGGAGGAGCGTTCATCCTAGAGGTGCGCTCCGGCTCCCAGACTCAAGCCGCAGCCGCCGTTACCACACTGAGCTCCGGACCGCGACCACTTCCGGACCCCGAGCACACAGCCAATCAAAGCCCCTGGCCCCGCGCCCCCTGGTGGACCGGATGACCTTCGGCAGGCACGAGCAGGGGAGGAAGAGCAGGTTAGAAATCCTGTCCAAACCCCAGGGGCAGCACCTCCCAGCACAGGAGGCAGAGCCAAGCGGATCTCTGTGGTTTCGAGGACAGCCTAGTCTACAGAGTGAGTGCCAGGATAGGCTTCAAAACAACACAGAGAAACCCTGTCTTGAAAACAAAACAAACAAAAAGAAAAAAAAAAAAGTGGCTTTCACCAGGCGGCTCTTTGGCGCATATTCCAGCGAGGGAAGGCTGGGCCACCTGCAACTGGCTCACTGAGCTGGAATCCAAGCTGTGTATGTGTATGAGCTGCTGCTGCAGGACCCCGGCTGGCTGGATGAGGAGCAGGAAGGTGTGTAAAAGTGACAGGGTGCCAGCGGATCCTCTGTTGGACACACAGGTAACCAAAAAACAATGACAGCCTGGCACCTCTCTGCTTTTCAGCCGTCTTTGTGGCTATTGTGGCTATTTTTCCTATTTTTAAAGATTTCTATCTGCCTGTCTGTGCAGAACGTACATACAGGAGCCTTTGGAGACCAGCCTTGGAGGTGCTGGGAACCCAACTCTAGTCCTGAAAGAGTAGTCAGTCTTTAACTGCTGAGCTATTTCTCCAGCCTCCATGATGGTTCATTTTGTCAACCTGATGAGATTTAGTATCATTGTGGAAACAGACAAGTGGGCCAGCAGGACAGTCCAGTGGGTAAAGATAGTGTCACCAAGCCTGACTACATGAGTTCAATCCCCAGGACCCATGTGGGAGAAGTTGAGAACCAATTCCTCTGACCTCCCTGTGTACACACAATGTATATACAAACAAAACAAAACAAAAACTTCTGAGTGTGTTGGTGAGATTCTAGACAGGTTTAACTGAGGAAGGAAGGACTCACCATTAAGGACTCACCATTAAGGACTCACCACGTGCATGATGCCATCCTAGAGGCTAAGCCCTCAGACTGAATAAAAGAGGAAAGGAAACCATCTTGTTCTGCTTCCTGGATGCAGGTGGCAATGTGATCAGCTGCCTGGCACTCCTGTTGCTATGACATCCCAACCCTTCCTGAGGATGCTTCTGTCGGGTTTGTAGACACAGCAACAGGAACAATAACTCAGTCTCCTAGTCTTTGGAGTAACAGGTATGAGCCAGCCTAGCCATTGGTACATGAGCACTAAAACTTCACTGTATAACATGGAAGATGGCAGTGCCACCAGGGGACAAGTGAAGACAATGCCAGGTGCCAGAGGGCTTTGGAACCCTTCAAACACCAATCACATCATGCTCCCCCTTGCTCTGCATATTGACTTGTTATCCCTGGAGTGTCTACCTAAGGACCATTGATACCTAGCCCAG